AACAGACCAACTGCCCCAACGCTAGCCACTTTACTCGACAGGCCCCTCGCTCCACGGGACCCGGCCCTTCTACTCCCACTCCTCCCTCCACTTGAACACTGTCCACCCAGTCTTCCATGTCGAGTACCTAAATGAATACCATGAATCCCCGCTCCAGTTTGCCAACCGCCCATATCCCAAACCTCCACCAATCATGCTACCCACAGGCCCTGAATTCGTTGTCGAAACCATCATCGGCCGACGAACCACTCAGGTATCTGATCATCCGGAACCAATCACTGAATACAAAGTCAAATGGACCGGATACCCCGACGAAGAATCTACATGGGAACCTCTCTCTAATCTTAAGAACGCCATGAAACTTGTCCGCGCCTATGATCGTGCTAATCCTACGTCCTAGATACCTATATCACTACGGCATAAACCCCCGCTAAACCCTTGCAACCCTGCTCTACACACACCCTTGAACCCAGTCCACCCTTCCCTTGATCCTCCTTCCTGATGTCTGATCTGCCCTTGCCCTCGCCTAGCCTTGTCCCATCTGTCCCTCTACCTTGTCTCTCTTGTCCAATGCTTGTGAACTTGCGTGACGCCGGCGATAAAGGATCTAATGGCAAGCGCACGAGGACGATGGCCTGCTGCCTCACTGTTCATGGAGATTATACAGCTGGTTTGGCCACCATGCTGTTTCATTGGCCGGCATCCCGACTCGCGGACTTACTGGAGCAGCAACTTGTGACATGGATCTTTGCATCAGTCTGCGACTTCCYTGCTTCCAGATCAGACCTCATTGCAGTTCGTGTACCGGACACACCCTAGCACTTGGACTTTGACACTTGAACTACTACTACGCTTCCTGGACTTCTACCTATCGCAGCTGCTGAAGACCGCTTCTACCACCTMCTCCAAAGACCTGATCAAGACCGCTGCAGACCCCCTTTCAAGACACTTGGACACTTTGTTCCTACATGAGATTCTGCTTCCGACTCCTTCGGACACACCAGCCTTCGCATCCTGAACAGATATTTTCATTTTTATTTTTCCTGACTTTGACAACCCTGTAGAACATCATTATTTTTTTTTGTTCCTACATGAGATTCTGCTTCCGACTCCTTCGGACACACCAGCCTTCGCATCCTGAACAAACATTTTCATTTTTATTTTTCCTGACTTTGACAACCCTGTAGAACATCATTAGCAGATCCCTGTTTCCCTAACCATTGTTCCCCGTACCCACTAGAACATCAATAGACATCCCCTGTTCCCCTGACCATTGTTTCCCTTACCCACTAGAACATCAATAGACATCCCCTGTTCCCCTGACTATTGTTTCCCTTACCCACTACAACATCAATAGAAATACCCTGTTTTCCTGAACACCGTTTCCCTTACCCAGTAGAACATGAATAGAAGTTCCCTGTTCCCTGAACTCTGTTCCCCCTTAACCTATAGCGAACCATGCAGTCCCCTTAGTTCATCAGTAGGACCACCCTGCTCCCTATCTTCCCTTTAGTTCATTTGTAGGACTACCCTGTTCCTTGCAACCCCCCCTAGTTCATCAGTAGGACAACTCTGTTCACCGGTACCAAACCCTGTTCCCTCTTACTCCCGCAGCCCATGCCACCCACATTATACCCCTCTTCCCTTTCGACTTGTTAACCAGTGATCGGCCCCGTCCCATCCTTCACAGATTTCAGCATTGCTTCATGATTTTTGGCAGCCAGGACGTTGCCTTCTAGAGGGAGGGGATAGTGTTACGGACTTCGCCAGGGCTTGATCCCTGGTCTATCTTTTGCTGTTTCGGCTGCATCCCGTTTTCGGCCTGGCACCCTTTTTCCAAACCCCTCCTTTGGTACCGTAGGATTTTGGACAACTGGCGCCATGTTGCGATTCGGGCGCCAATTTCAAATACTGCATTTTTCAGTTCTGCCCTCGGGGCCTTTGCAGAAATGCCCCTGGTACCGTATACCGGCTCCCCGTACGACGGGGACCAGTCTCGTACCAGTTCTCTGCTGCTGTACTCGTACTCAGTGTGACTCGCCGTTTCGGCATTCGGAATCCAAGACTTCGACTTTGTGCCTTGCCACTGTGTCTGCGTCCTACCCTCAGTCCGAGTCCGTCGTGTCGAGTGAGTGTGTGTGTGTGTGTGCTCTCACTCTCTCCCTCTCTCTCTCCTCTCCCTCGGCTCACCCTCAGCCTCACGCTCTACACCACCCCTGCAAGGCTGTAGTGTCCAAGGCAACCCACACCACACACAACACCACACAGACACATCCCACGGACGGCAATTCTCACTCACTCCGCTCCGCTGCACATGACCCCTTCCATCGGTATTTAGCCCGAACAGCAATACGGGGTATTCTGCCCCATCCGTTAACAACACAGCCCGTACCCCGGTGCCCTGTTATACCTGCAAGTTCAAAACTCAACACCGCACTCCTGCGCAGTTATTTCTATTTTATTTCGTTCACATGGTTCCCCATCTGGAATTCGGACGCAGGTCTGTGTTTCAACAGTTCATGGGTGTACCAACTGAGGGCCTCACCATACCAGTCTTTAAACCACCAGTACTTGGGCGACGCCTTAGCGTTAACGCTACGCAATAGAATCGACAGCCCGTGCTGCTTCGAGATTTGGGCGGCCGGCGCGGTGCGCAGTGCCCAAGTACTGGTGGTATTAAACTCTTTTTCAAGAGTTCCTGCCTGGCCACACAGCCTCTTGAACGCTGCAGCTTTCAAGAGATGTCAGAGTGGCTCTTGAAATGCTTTCAAGAGTAGCTCTTGAGATGCTCAGAGCCCCAGCCTGCAATGCATGGGTTTTCATGTGTCCTTCAGAAAGAAAACAAAGCCATACTATGGTCTTTTGCAACAGTTGAGTTGTGCGACCGTTATGCTGACACCACCAGAAAGATAACAAAGCCATACTATGGTCTTTTGCAAAAAAAAAAAAAATTTTGTCTTTTGCAAATTTGGTCCAGCAGAATCGCCTTTTTGTTTATTACTATTATTTTTTCAGTGCTGTATTAATTAGCACCACAAAACAAATGATGGTTAACAACCAAGACGCCGACACAGACAATTCAGAAGAAGAAGGAGAGAAGAAGAAGAAGAAAAATATGGTTGCCGCGTCAAGCAGGCATAATATGGTTGCAGACACTTCAGGTCACGGCATCTGCAGTCTGGCTGGAATCCAAAGGAATGCAACTAGACACGAAATGCAAGCGCTGTAACTGGGGTTGGGACACAACATCACATGTGCGGATCCACTGTCCTTTATCAGATGAGGTATGGCAAAGGTGGCAGTCACACTGGGAACGGTTGATAGGAAAAGAATGGCCGTGGTGTGACGACTGGATACTATACGGCATAACGGAGAAGAAATGCAGCTTGACGGACGGTTGGGGGTACGTGGCGCTGGTCTGCAAAGGTGCAGTAATGAGCAGCATGTGGAAGAGCAGAAACGGAAGGATCTTTAGAGGTGAAGCCCTCTCTACACAGCAACAGATAGCAATGGCGAAGGAACAAATCCGGTTATCAATCCAATCGGACTGGCGTTCTACAAGAAACATCCACAGTAAGAGACTAGCATGGTTCCGGAACACATGGTCACGGAAAAATGCACTGGCGGTCCGTGGTTTTTG